ATGATTCCTCACACTCTTCTTCCCTTTCAAGTTCACCATCACTGTTGTACACAAACCTCGTGTGCTTCGCTTTCATGCTTATCTTGCTTATTCCTTCACACAGCTCATCAACCAACCCTCCATCTTCTTCTCCTTCTTTATTGTATTCATCTTCCACCTCTTCTACTTCTTCAATTACTTCTTCCTCCTCATCTTCATCATGAATGCTTGCATTCACCTGAATAGACCAAACAGAAGCATCATCATCTTCTGGTGTTGACTTCTCTTTGCTTTCACTGTTTCCTGTTGTCACATGACTCACATCCGATGGGCATTCCGATGAATCAGAGGTCTCGAATTTCTCACAGAAATCCAGCAGCAGAGACCGGGTAATCAAACTCTTTTGAGATTCCAGAGTCTCTTCTTTTGCACCCTCAAAAATATCATTCACAACCTAATATATACAAAAAGAAACAAGCTTTTTTAGACAAATTATAATCAAGGAGAATTTCGGTTTCATAGAAAAATTTGAAGTTAGCCCCACCTGAGACTTCATCGTCTGTTGTTCTTCAGAAACAGGGGAAGCGGTAACCAAAACAAAATCATTGCTAATACCTCCAACGCCGGAGAGATTAGTGACCTGGGGTGTGTTTGCCGGTGTGGGAGCAAGAAGACCCATCGGAGAATTGACAAAACTTTTGAGGTGAAGAAACGGACGGCTCTCCATTGACAGTTTGGAAAGTTCAGCTTCTTCTTCAACCTTTTGTAGCAAAGTCTTGACCTGGCCCCTGAGCAGGGCCTCACCAGAACCAGGAGTCTTCTTGTGTCTGTTGCTCTGCTTGGTTATGGCCGATGACGGTCTCTGCATGGCGAGCCCAACAATCGGTGAATCGTTGGTTATGTCAAAAAGGGCAGATCGATCTTGTTGCTGTTTTGCGTTTCTTGTTCTTGATTTTGAAACACACGTCTCAGAATCTTCAATCTTCCCTGGAAAAATGGAACAAAAAAGAGGGTTAATTAAAAAAAATATTAAGAATCATCAAGAAAGGGGATTAACCCAATTTCCATCAGATCTGTCTTTGCTTGTTTGGTAAAAATGAAAAGAAAATGAAAAGAGAGTGAAGATTACTCACTCGAGACTGGAACACTGTTACTATTGGTGGCGGAGTTGTTCAATGCAGTCATCGATCTAGTGACTCTTCTCATCGATAAAGGGGTCTCCATTGAAACTGGTGGATCAAGGTCACCGGAAAGCGAAATGGGTAGTCGGAAAGTTGACTTTTTTAGGGCAAAATTCGAGCCAAATTAGCAGAACAGAGAATGTAGACACAGAGTGGGTAAAGTCGTGAGGGGTTTATATGGAGATGTGATAACGGGGCTTAAAGCAAAAATGTGACCGTTAGAGCGCCCGCTGGCACGTCTATTCACGCGTTCGCAAAAACTAGCCGTTGAAAGTTTTGCTTTGTTTTTTATTTGAATCAATGATGCTTGACTCCTGTTCTGAATTGTACGGTTATTTCGGTTTCAGTGGACCTTAAATTTGGGCTCATTTTCATTTTGGATCATCCTATTGCTACCGAGAATCCGATCAGAGATTTTAACAGATCCAACTTTCTTAATTTGAGGAAATTCCCTTAAATGGTATCTAAGAAAGAGTAGTAAATAAAATGTTAATTTTATTTTTTTTATGTAAAATGTTAATTTTATTAGTTTTTAAATAAAAATATTAATTTTTAATTTTTTTATTTAAAGACTAGATGTCGTGCACTAATATTGAGAGAGTCTTCTCTCAAATAGTTAATATTTTATAATTTAATATACTTTAAATTGTAAAATATTAAATTTTAAAATAAAATTATTTAATAATAACTATAAAAGGAAAAAAGCATCCTATTTTTTAGACAGCTATGTCACGATAACAGGCTAATTTTATGGGCCCTAAGCCTTTCTATTCCTATTTTTATTGGGCCCTAAACTTTTTATTCTATTTTTTTTTTCCTGAGTTCAACATCTATTTTTATTCTTGCCCGTTATTTTTTTTTTCTAATTTTATGCTACCAACTGTATTAAAATGCAAAAATATTACACTGTTTATACCCCCTTTCTCCCATGATATCTATCGTACTTTTTACTATATTTTTCTTCTAAATTGAGTATTTTTTTTACATGTACATTAATTTTGTTTCCATTTTAACCATAGAAAACTTCACCTCATCAACAATATATTTTTTACACTTGTCTAATCAACAATTAGGTGTAAAACCAGAAAAAAAAAAAATTAATCACAACAATAATTACATTCTTGTAACACACATAAAACAGTTTAAAAAAAAAAAGGAAAGTTACATAGGAATTAATTATGTGAATTAACAGTACTCCTTGATATTTTTAAAGTTGTCTTAATCCCAAAAATTTATATAAATCAACTTGAAGATTTTGTACAACAAATTAAAAAAAAAATTGATAATTGAATATTTTATTAAGTGAAAATGTTTAATAAGAATTATATATAAGAAAAAAAAATTTAATTATTATCTATTTACTAATATATAAAATATTTAATTAAATTTTATATAAAAGTTAAATTACAATAATTTAATCAGACGAAAGATCACCTTCATTCATTCATTCTTGATTATGAAATAGAGAAGTAATTACGTGAGTTAGGTGGCAATGGCGGTACTGGGTTCAGAAAGAACACGTAGCCCATTGCATTTATGTTTATTTTTCTCGAAGGGGAAGTGGTAGCTGCGAGATATGGTACACAATCACGGGCCATGAGGTGGTTCGAGCTGCCTCCATAACTACCCTTACTATATGTATACGCTTCCCCGCTCGCCTCCGACCATCATTCATTCCTCACCCATCCCTCTTCCTTGGAATACATCCTAATTGACGTTATTAAATTTTCTGGGAGAAGCATTTAGCTCCGAACATGGCTCCCACAACCACCCCTCTCACAGCCATAGCCAACGAGAAAACGTTACGGTCGAGCTTTGTGCGCGACGAGGATGAGCGTCCCAAGGTGCCTTACAACCAGTTCAGCAACGAAATACCGGTCATATCGCTGGGGGGAATCGAGGAGGTCGGTGGCAGGAGGGTTGAGATTTGCAAGAAGATCGTTGAGGCTTGCGAGGACTGGGGGATTTTCCAGGTTGTTGATCATGGGGTCGATGCTAAGCTGATTTCGGAGATGACCCGCCTTGCGAGAGAGTTTTTCGCTTTGCCCCCGGAGGAGAAGCTCCGGTTTGACATGTCCGGCGGCAAGAAGGGCGGCTTCATCGTCTCTAGCCATCTCCAGGTACCCATTGAAAATTCATCAGAAAAGCAATAAATTAGAAGAAATGTTGCATTTTGACTGTGATTCCAATGTCAAAATCAGATACCCAATAATTAAGGAATATTCAGTGTTTGATAAAATGGGAAGGAGAGCGAGAAGGGATGATTTCATGTTTTCATTTGCAGGGAGAAGCAGTACAAGACTGGCGTGAAATCGTGACATATTTCTCATACCCAATTAAGAACCGAGACTACTCAAGGTGGCCGGACAAGCCGGAGGAGTGGAGGGCTGTGACGGAGGAGTATAGTGAGAAGCTGATGAGGCTGGCGTGCAAGCTTCTGGAAGTGTTGTCAGAGGCCATGGGCTTAGAGAAGGAAGCCTTGACTAAGGCCTGTGTGGACATGGACCAGAAGGTCGTGATCAATTACTACCCCAAGTGTCCACAACCTGACCTCACCCTCGGACTCAAGCGCCACACTGATCCAGGTACCATCACACTCTTGCTTCAGGATCAGGTGGGTGGGCTTCAAGCCACCAGGGACAACGGCCAGACCTGGATCACTGTTCAACCTGTTGAAGGTGCCTTTGTGGTCAATCTTGGAGATCATGGACATGTAAGTAAATGCCAAATCTTGTTAGGAAATTAATTTGTCTTGCATTCACTATTACTAGTTTAAAATATTCCACTGCTATTATAATGGACCAAGTTGCAATTTGCAGTCAACTTCAAGAAAAACAAGGGTCGCAGTTTGCAATAAAAAATCTAAGAGCTACATATAGTTCTGACTTCAACCCTGGCCCTTGATTGTACCTACTTGGTTCTGAGTTAAACCTTGGCCCTTAATTGTACCAACCCTTCACCAAACTTCCACAGATTAAGAGAAATATAAAAAAGAATCAAGTAACCTGGAAACCAAGTGTTAGGTAGCTAATGTTATGATTCATTTAATACATTTAGTAGTAATGTATACGCTTGACTCTGTGAGAGAATGCCAGGGCGTTCACGCGTGAAAAGGTTAGTCTACTTAATTATTGAAAAGATTTGAATCTTTGAAATGGATGTTCTTGTTGTGTGCAGTACCTGAGCAATGGTAGATTCAAGAATGCGGATCACCAGGCTGTGGTGAACTCAAACTATAGCAGGTTGTCCATAGCCACATTCCAAAACCCAGCACCAGAGGCAATAGTGTATCCACTGGCGATCAGGAAGGGAGAGAAGCCGGTGATGGAGGACCCGATCACATTTGCTGAGATGTACAAGAGGAAGATGAGCAAAGACCTGGAGCTTGCCAAGCTAAAGAAGCAGGCGAAGGAACAGCAGGTGGTAGAGAAGGCCAAACTGGAAACCAAGTCCCTTGATCAAATCCTTGCATAGACTTATGTTAGCTAGCTGCTTCAAGAACATATAAAGTAATTACCAAAAACAGTGTTGTAATTACATAAACTACTAAAGCCAGCGAGTCCCTTGAATATAGGGTAGACCTTCTTGATTGCAAAACACCAGATCATATTAATGATTTCCTTGTTCTCTCGGATTCTACTCTTGTTGTAGTGCCTACTAGAGGTGTACTTGTGTAAAATTATACTAATAAATTGAAAAAGAAATGGAAATGTGCTCATAAAATCATTTTCTTCTTTTTGCCATATTTGAAAATTAAGTCACATATGATCATTGTATGCTAATTCAGAATCAACGTATTATTGATTCTTTGTCATCCATGCTTTAGAGTAGGAAAAAAAAAAGAAGTTAATAACTGCTTTACTGATTTAGTAATCACTTATTTTAAAATTTCAAATAATTAAATAAAAATTTTATTTTTTAAAAAAATTATTTAACCTATACCTTTAAGGTTATAAAATTAAAATGCATTAATTACATTTTTTCTATTAATTTGTATAAAAAAATTATAAAAATTAACTTTAATTTTAATACTTTTTTTTTTTTGAACATTTTGCCGTGAGATCGGTTCGAACCGTTGCCTTAAGGGAGGGAGACATGAACTTTACAAACGTGGCTAGATCCACTCGACCCGAAGGGTCAGGTTCAACTTTAATTTTAATACTGATAATTAACACATATATAATTTTAATTAGATAAATAATAAAATTAAAATTAATTTTTATTTGTATACAATAATTATTAAAAAAATAATATAATTAATACATTCTTGATTAGTTGTTAGAAAAACTCTCTCTTTAAATTAGTTACATTCATGTTCCTTTCGAGATGTTCTAGGGAGTTATTGGTGGGAATGGTGTGGTCCATTAATCTTTGCTTAAATGTGAGAGACGTTCTCCTTATCAGAGAGCATGGTCTGGTCGATTGTAGTGTTAGATGTAGGTACCATCTTTCATGGGGGCCGAATGCGCTTACCTTCTTGTGGTTTGGGTAGGTACATTAAACTATAATAATGTGTCATTTATCTTTTGTGTGATTTAAAAATGTGTATTTAACCATCTAAACTATGAAATTTGCCCCTAATCTTGTTGTGGTTTGAAAAATATTTATTTTTTAATATAACATAAAAAAAAGAATATTATTATAAGATGAGTGCAGGGGATTAGTGGCCCTATAAGCCACTTGATCCTTAAGTGTTTTAAAGATTTTTACCTTTAATATTGTTATTAAAGAAGGGGTTAAGTGCATAATTTTTAAACCACTGAAGAGTCATAACCAATATCTTAATTTGGTCCAATGAAAAAATTCCCTCCCTTCTTTTTCTCTCCATTTCTTTTAAACTAAATCTATTTTAACAATATGTCGAAACAGAAAATTAATTAAAATAATAATATTTTTTAGTTTAAATTGTATATTAAAAATACATTTCAAGTATCAAAATTACTAAACTATTATCAATGAGTTAATATATATAAATAATTTAATAAATTATTAACCTTGTGCAACATAGACGGAAAAACACATTTTTGATTAATTTAAGTCACCAAGTAACTACATTATATAGTAGGAAGGCCACACAGCTGCATAGCCTGCATGTATGTACTTCTAATACCATCCATCCATCCATCCATTATCCTTCTTCAAGAGTAGAATTAAGTTGGGCCAATCATTATCCGGCTTGTCTTGCCAATAAGCCTTTGACCCAGTTAACTAAAGACTAAGAATTAAAA